TTCAAGGAGTTGCATATTTATTTACTGTAATTACTTATTTTAATTTTACAGAAAGAACCTTATTATACTATTTGATCCGTAAATAAATAAATATTATTATTATTATAACCACGATGCAGTCGCGGCATTTTGATAACATTGCTTGCTTATGTTTTATTCAGAGTATTAACATAAAGTTTAAATTGGCAAAGAAAACTTTTGTTTAGACTGAATTCCGATTCTGAACAAAATTTGCATTCAAATAGATTAATTCCACCCAGTAACATATAATTTTGTCTGGGCATGATTTAATAATCCTCTATAGTATTCCCAAACATTTTTAGCTAATATCTGAAATTTGAAATACATAATACAAATTCAACAGTTTATACCTACGCATTTCTCAAATTTTGAATTAAATATGCTTCGCTTATTTAAATATGAAGTTATATAAACCTGTATAATATAATGTATAGATGAAATATGGTTACAATGAAATCCGGAGACTACTTTGTGTAAGATTTAATAACTTCATTATTGGGTTTCGTGGAGGGTTGGGATTTAACTAAAGGATTTTGTCACGGAGTGACGGGATATTGAAAAACTTTTAATTTCGACCCACGCGTCGTCTGTAACATGTGGGCGGAAAAAATGCTTTTCTCGATATCGAATTCACTATTCCATTGAGAATGTTACGAACGGACTTTAATTTCGTGAAAAAAAAACGTAATCGTGACATTTCGGCAGTGAAAATTTTACAGCGTAAGTTTGAAAGATATTGACTGACATCTCAGAAAGACATATGTTCAAATTAGAATCGTCACATGCTATGCTCTTTCGAATTCGAAATTTTATTACCTACGCATTGGAGGACATATTATTTCTTAGTACAGAAAACTAGAGATCGATCGATTAATCGGCTTCGGCATCGGCTTCGGCCACATTCGGCAATTATTTAAACCTTCGGCTAAGAATCGGCTTCGGCCAAAATTAAGCAATTAATTAAAATTAAATTAAATGTACCGTCGGGACGCCGCTGGACTTAACAAATCTAATCAAATTAAGGTTAAATTAGCCTCTTAACATTACAAACAACACTGCCAAATTACAATAAAATTGGGTAAAGAGTGTTTAAAATATTTACGAAATAGCATAAAAGATTAACACCCTGTATCTTGAAAACGCAGCATCTGAGGACCAATGTTTATATGAACTTTTTGTATTAAAATCACTCAAATAATCGTCTGTTGAATTTATTGTACATACTTTTACTGTTGTACCCTATATACATATATTATAACGAGCGTTCAAATAAAAACGTGGTCGAAGTTGGCTCTGACACATTGGACGTAGGGAGTAGCTTATAGCGACCAACTTAACCTCATTTCTCAACGAGCTGTATAGCAGCTGTCAGTTTCAATAACGTTAATGACTATATAACTTTATTTTAAAGAATAATCGTGATAAAATATAACAAACAATTAAAGTCGGCCGCTTCCTTCTTTTCTTGTTACACTGCCCGTTTCACGAAAAACATTAACACAACGCTGAACTGCACTTTGAAAAAAATTTTATACTCAACAACGCCGGGAAATTGATTTTGAAATTCTATGAAACATTCCTCAATAGAATACTTCCATATTCCATCAATCTTGCGTCCATTTCTAAAGTAGGACTCTATGATAAACACTTTTTGTTCTTGAGAAAACACCATTTTAAACGGTTTTTAAAACGAAAATATTCAAATTGATAGCGGCGATATAGCGCTTTGACAGATGACGTTTAAGTTCATTTGCTATACGCTACGCCCTACGTCCAAATTTATTTTTGACCTACTTTTATGTTATCTTATCATATATTTGTTATTAATTAAAATTTTCAAGTCAATAAAAATATCTTCGGCTTCGGCATTGGCTTCGGTCGAAGGTGACCCATAAACCGAAGTTCGGCTTCGGTTTCGGCCAAAAAAATCACATTCGATCTCTACAGAAAACCTTCCAAAAATGTATGTAAACTCAATATTTTGAAATACAGAAAAATCATTGCCTGAAAAATAAAATAATGCAATCAAATCTAAATTTGTATATTGCTAATATGTTATTACCGTTTCAAGACAAAAAATAAAAAAAATGTGCTCGACCTTTTAAAAGATAGGCAAATTGCCCCTTAATTCTCTTTAATTTGGCGCCCTACTTCGCAAAATATTTTCTGAGCCGGAGGACCACAGCGCATTCGAACGTTGAAGCGAAACAGTTGATTTCCTCAGTCGTCTTGAATTTTGCAATTGGTTTCAAATTCAAATTGCAGCAGATCCCAACTTTATTAACAAAGCACTATAGACGGATGAGTGTTGTTTTAGCCATACTGGCATTTAGGTGGGTACCGTACCACTCTTTTAAAAACAATAAGTCACTAGGTATGCGTACTACAAACCGAATAATTAATTGAACATAATACTTAAGACTTATATTCAATGTAAAACACAGTGAAAACCTTAACAATATTAAAAATACTAAATAATATATAGTAATATTGTAATATTCTTATACATACATACATGTGTCTGGGTAACAAGATCTGTTACTCCTTGTCGTTCACTACGCATTAAAAACGCAGTAAAAACTACGTAAGTGAGTAATAGGGTGGATTGAGATTCACTCTCGATAAACCTTTGTAGGTCAGCGGTCAGGAACGGTCCCAAAAAGGGGTTTAAATAATGATTTGATAATTTTTTTCAGCGTAAATATGCATTATTAAATTTTTTTATTCGCGTATTCGTATTCTACTCATTTTTCCCTATTTTCACTTAAAATTAATGACATTATGACTGGATCACCCTATAGAATTTTAATTAATGTACTGGTAATAAAAAAATATTTAACGAACTGTTTAAAATTGTTTAAAAAATTTAATCTTTTGCTTTAATTTGATTCGAAATCCGTTCTATTTATATTCACATAATTCTCAACTGTTAATAAACGCCAAACAGTAGTTGAGGTAGATACTTCATTAAAATTACTACTGCTTCAATTAACTAGATAAATTGATGGACATTTATGAAGATGCTTTACACATGTACAGCACATTTTAGAAAGTACAGTTGCGTCATTATTGTATCTAAAGTTATTTACACGTCGCATTCCCATCGTCTAGATGACTAATGGTGCTATTCTGTAATTTTTTTAGAGTGCTGTAAATTTATAGTGATAAAACATATCTCAAAATATAAGCGTAAAGTTTACAGAAGCATTTGTGTTTGCTTTCCTATGATTGATATTATTGATTACGTTTATTAAAAAAATTATACTTACACACGCTGTAACTTGTTACCATTGCCTTAATTTCTTTGCATTTCTGAAAAAAACATTATTATAATTTTTGCAGTCTTGAAAAAAATCTCCAAATCTCCCATTTTTAACTTCCAATCATTGGTTTCATGTTTATTTATGGCAAATACGTTATCACTGTTTTAATTTTTTTCGTTATATCTTAAAATAATAATTTTCAGACAACTGGTATTTTAATGTCATCATAAGAAATATCTATTTCCAATAACTGAGATCCGATTGTTGCTTTTACTCATATTAGATTACAACTTTAAGCTATCTTCAGAATAAGACTATAAAACTGTGTAGGCGATTTTGTATGAATTTAAAACGAAATGCCTTATTCTCTTTATTAAAAATACTATATTAGGAATATAAGAAAACAATAAGAAAAAAATGTTTAATGTCCTTTTTCCTCTCAAATTATTAAAACATTCCATTTTCTGATATATAAAAGTAATATTGCTTTAAAAATCTAATTTCGTGAATGGAACGAGATAGCATACAAAATTACCTTGTATTTACTTCTCTAGAGAGTAATTTTATATAAAGCCCTTAAAAAAACTTTTCCTTTATCTTTTTGTTAGACATTCGACAAATTGAAAGTTTCTCATCTGGACTGAGAGCGCCTTAATTACATTTTCTCCTACACACTGCTGTATCTTCAAAAAGTTAATAAGAAATGTTCAGGAACACGGTAAACAAATTTAATTTGCGTATGAATTAAGTCTTGCTTTCATTAGATTAGGTATTAGATTATTAGGTATTACGTAAGGATATCTTTCATGGAAAATAAGGCTTAGTTACAGTAAAATTAAATATATTAAACAAAATCGTATAAAGAATAAGTTACAGATTATGAACTTTTATATAGAAAAAAAAGTGACTATTACTTTTATAGATAGTAGCGTCATTAGAAGTTTGCTCATAAAAATTGTTTTACAGAAGAGGGCTTTAGATAGAGATGTTAAAAACTGTTTTTTTTTTCGGTTCCTTTATCCTTGATATCAAAAGCGATTTGATTTAATTTTCTCGTATTTTTATTACATCTGATTAGAAAGCGTTTTTGGCGTTAACTGAAATATGATATCAGCATTAGCAGTATGAAGAAATCATATCCAAATTATTTTAAAAAAAAAATACGTTTCTGATTTCTGCAATTTTGTCTGTATTCTTGGTACTTTTTTCAGTCTTTGTTTTCGAGGAAAACCCAATTTTAACAATGCAATAATATCGTAATGGCAAAAGAAATGAAAAAAGAGTTACCTATTTAAAACTATTCAAAATACCCTGTATATAAGAAATATGACATTCTGAAACCATGTATTTATGTTCTTATGTTCTACTACACTAATTTTTAACAAAAAGTTGGGTTGATTTGGAGTGAAAATATATTTTTTTACGGTGTGCAATAGGTAGTTTAGTTTATTGAGAAAGTCAAATATCAACTTTAAAATATATTTTTAATTCATTACACTGTACAGCATATTTTCGAATAAAAAAGTGAGGGTTATTAAATGTAATGCTGTAAAAATTTTTAAACGAAAATGTGAAATATTTGCGTTACCATTGTTACCTTAATCATTGCTATATATTTAAGTTGTCTTGCTATTAGTTTTAACAAAAATTTGTTGATTGAAGTTATTACTGAATTTCTTGATACTGATTGTGAGTTTAATTTCATCTTATTTCTAGGTTCCGGAATTTTCGTTTCCCCGTCTGGACTACTCGAAAGGACAGGATCAATCGGGATGAGTTTTGTGATATGGATGGCATGCGGATTGTTATCCTTATTAGGTGAGTGAGAAAACTGATATTCAGAACATACGACCAGTTTTAAATCTTGAGTTAGCTTTTAATCAAATTTATTCATTATTTTAATATAATTTTTATTGTTTTACTTTGACGACTGACTAAGACTTTATTAATTAGATGATTATTGAACATGTATATTCACAATCAGTTAACCAGGTCTTTCCAGTATTTAAAATACTGGAAAAAGATTATATTTAAAGGACGGGAAATTAAAGAATTTGAACATGTTTAGGGTACCTATAGAAAAAATCTCCTTCATTTTTCCATTAAATTCTAAATCTGTTAAAATCCTTCAATTTGTCCGTACTTACTTTTTACAATGAAAATAGCGGCTCTTTCAGCCTAAAGAGTTTAATTTATTTGTTTGTCAGCATCAAATACCTTTTACACCTGCTTCCCCGATCGTTGTAAAGGGCCCCAGGAAATTACCGTCTCTGACGAAAATATGGTTAATGTAAATGTTTCTGGAGCTATTTTCGTGCGCCAGTTGAAATATAATTGGAATAATGTATAGTATTATCGTAAATGAATAGAGGATGTTAATGAAATGATCTAAATTTAAGAGATACTGTTAAAACTTGCGAATACATGGATTCTTAAAATTATTGTTATATACTGTATATATTTCCCACCGGAAATATACACAACAATTTCAGAAACTAATTCAAGTGTTATTAGTGCATACTTTTTTGTAAGATCTATTCCATATTCCTGCAGAAGTTAGGTACTATTAAGTATTTGCTGTTACTATACTTGATTTTAGTTTAATTTATATCCCGCTCAACAACTTTTTGATTGTCCATTGTTTTCTGTGATTCGATACACCGCATTCACACAGCATATGGTAGTGTGCTTCTGATATTATCTGAATTCTAGATCTGCTCTAACTCTAACAGACATTCCAATACGCTTGATACCATACTCTTGCACAATGCGTATAGTTTATACGAATTCACCATGATTACTGTTGTTTAATACACATCATTGGTCGAAACAAAAAGTCTAGTAAACCGAGCTAGGGCCACTCGTTGCCCAAACTCACCAGACAGACTGGTTTCGAACTTGTTGGTCCTTATCAGTATCTCATAGATGAGACATTTTTAAAAATTGCTTTCGCCCACATTGGAAATACACTTGTCATTATTTTATGACACCTGCAATACAAGTCGCCTTTCGCCATTTTTTTCCAAATCGGAGGTATCAGACCACATGTCACTAGATGCACTCGGCCATAATTTTCACACTACTGATGTATTAGAATTTGAAGCAATGTCCACTTCGACTGTGTATATCAGTGCATCGGCGGCCATATTAAGGAGGTATATCGGGGTCCGAGGGAAGTGAGGATCGCAGGGGTGTCCTATGCTTTTCTTATGGGACTAAAACCCGCTACCAATATGAAAAAAATAAATTCTATTGAAACTATTTGCGATAAACATTATCTATACCTATAGCAAAGAAATCTACCCAATATGCACATAACATACATATTGAAAATTAACAACATAAAAATATCATATTTACGTAGTTTTAAATTATATTTAATGAACGCATAAACACTATGTAGATGTGGCAACAGCGCTAATAATCGAGTGCAGTTGTATACACTGCGACCTACAGACCTGGGACATCGGAGATATTGTGCGTCAAATTCGGGTAAAGATGCGTACGCGTTCAAAAATTTATTGTGTGTAAACTATGTAAACTATAATTTATTATATATAGCAAATATATCGTATTATCCTCGCGAAGATTTGTATCCATTATTTAAAATCCGTAAATCATGTGAACTGGTAAAACAACGAGAAAATAATTATGTTAATTTAGTTCTAAAGAAATGAAATGACACTCGCGCCCATCTGTCGTCCATGTCAAAGAAAATGTTGGATGCAATTTTGCAGATTCTGTGATAGAAATTACATTACTCACTGTTCGTGTTTTTCATCTCTATTTTAGTAATGTTACAAAAGTTTTGCAACTATAACTAATTTTTTAGATATAATGTTTGCTGAGAAATATTTAAATTCCTTTGTTATTCTGTACAAAAGCTTTTATCTCAAGTATTACTAATTATTTAATCAAGTAAAGAAAACTTTATGTAACCCTAAATATTGCTGGGTACAGATTACGATGTTTTTATAAACCATTAAATATATCGAAAGGATTTATCAACTGTATTTTTTATTCCAATAAATATATCACAGCTTCCTAGCCTTTTTTAATTAATTTAGTTTTTTAAAAAACATTATAAAAAATAATCTGTTGTGGATAATTTTTTGTTGATAACAATGTACATGGGATTTAGGAAAAATGTATATATTTGAAATTAATTTCGTTTTTATCAAGTCTTTCAAATGTATTCCCTCCTTGCTGTCAGCTGATTGCGACGTTGCCACATTAATCCTCAAGTCAGACAGAAATGCAATTATTGGTTTCTATTTCTAATTAATGCAGCTGTACTATGTTCAAAACTTACATTAGTTTTACATAAAAAATAAGATAATACTATCTATGGAAAAGTTTTGTTTCACAATTTCTAAATTTTTTCGCCATATAAACCTGTTAAAATGAACAACTTTCAACAACAATATCTCAAAATCTAGATTCAAAAAAAATTTCAAAAAACATGACGCACAAAAGGAACACTGGTAATACGCTATATAAATTTCAAGTACATCTGTGCATTTTAGTAAACTCGATATACCTCCTTAATACAGTAGCCAAAGTTTCGTACACTTGCGAAGAAAAAAAAACGTTTGGTGTAGAAAATGTAAACAGTGGAAGTTAAAGAAAAACATAAACATAATAGCCTGAATATTTTGTTGGCTGTAACTTGCCTAAAAATTAATTGTTTCTTAACTGTCGTCCTTGCACACCTAAAAGTCTCACTAATTTCGATATTGATATTTTGAGAGTAAAATTGTAGTAGTAGAGTGGTATTGTCATTAGTAGTTAGCGCAATGATGCTCAATTACAGTAGCAACGAATTAACGAATATGCTGAATGTAGACAAAATGCTGCGGCCGCAGAACTAACTGTTTTCTACTTTTCTACGCAAATGTTGCAAAATTTATAATATGAGTTTATACAACACGTGGTAGATAGTACGACCCTCTATACGATCAAGACTTTTTTTAATTAGCTATCAGCATATTATCGACAAGCGAGCTACAATTTTTATTTCAGGGAAAGCTGTTTTTAGCGCAAACGAAAAAATCCCAGAATATGCACCAGTAGGTACTTTTTGAAAATCGATATATTGCATTGCTAAAACATTTAAATGGATGTTATTGATATTTAGAAAATAATTTACTAGTGCTCTTTGAAGATATATATATATCTTAATGTATGTCAGAGAATTACATCTCATTTCTCCTCATTTATTGCCGTACTGCACAAGAATATTTAAATATTGAATTTCCTCCTGTAATGTAATCTCTTTGGAGTTTAAAACAAATTTCTTGTTTATATTTTACCTACCTTCGTTGGCAGGTACTGCTTTACTTTTACTTTCATCTTAATTTTAGAATAACCTTTTTAAACCAAGTTGTTGTTAGTTATTAAATTATGAAACGACGGCAACAGACACGAGAAACAGTGAATTTAAATTGCCTGAACGAACAGAGTGAGGACCCTCATTAAGTAATACCTACCTGAACAAAGCAAAAACATTTAATTCCCTCTTTTGCCATTACACCTACCTTCCAAATTACGTTACCTGTTTCCTACAGTTTATTACAGATTCTGATACTCCGCATTTTATTTTCTGAGTAAAGTTTGTGAAACACTTTACACAGAACACTGGGATTAATTTGAACTGGAAAATCAATGGTTTCAGCGCGAATAGGCCACACCTTCGACGATAACAATAACACAATTTGAAATTTATTCTAGTATTACTAATTGCATTATGAAAAGCTGTTACTATTTGATTTGCTCAGGGAATAATCCAGTTCTGGGTAAAACGATAACCGTACATACAACGTGTTTTATTCATTTTATCGCGTCGGTATTGTAGGTTTATATTTAATCATATTACGAAGTATCAGTCCGAGCGTATGAGTTTTGCTGTTGACCATATTATCCTGAAAAGAATATACAGGGTGACCCGATACTTGATACAAAAAAGTTGAATACAAGTAGATGGGGTTAAAATAATATCAGTTCTTCATATACATTTTATTCATACGGGCCTTCGTTAATAAGTTACGGGCCCTCAAAGGTGAAAATTCAAAAGTTATTTTTATTCACAGTCTCTAAACCATTAACTTCAGCATGATGCAAATTTGGTCATCAATAACACATGCGTACAGCTTGTTTTTGATGTTGTAAGTGAAACTTTACTATGCCCAGAACGCTGGGAACAAACTATGCCCAATGGTTAACCACCCAGAATTTTTGCATAGATGATGATCGCAATATGCCTGTATTAAAAATAAGTTCCCTGAAGAATTTGCCAACGATAATACCCTCTTGGTTCAACTCGGTAAAATTAACAGTTTAGGAAATCGAGCACTTCGAGCTGCGCCTCCACCATTTCTTGTTTTTAATTTTTAATTAAACATAATTAATATGTTAGAACTGTACATATTTTTAAAATAAGAGCCTAGAAAATTTTACTGTCTGCTAATGTAATTTTTACTAACAAAATTTGACAAAACAAGAATAAGTTAAAGTTAGAAAATAATTTAAAAGAAAGAAAGCAATCAAAATACATTCTCAATATGGATACTTTCCACCTCCACACACCTAAGTTTACGAATGTTATTTGTTTGTACACAAAACAGCATTTCTGGGGTATGTTTAATATTATCACAATGGAAATTAATTCTTTGTAGCAATTCGTCCATTGTATGTACTAGGATTGCGTATACTAAACTTCCCGACGGAATAAGTCCATCGGATTAAAGTCTGAAGAACGTGGTGGCCATGAAATTGGGCCTCCTCTCCCAATCCATTTATTATTAACACAATGGACAAAT